GATCACCCATATGGGTTTGAAGTGGCAAAATTCCATACGGATACCACATGGGAAAATCCCATGTGGGTAAATACCACATGTAACCCATGTGGGATCTACTAATATGGGTTTCAAGTGGCAAATTTCCATACGGATACCACATGGGAAAATCTGTCCCATATAAATGTGGGACGCGGATTTATTTTTCACTCGGCAATAGCTCAAAATGTAAAGTCATTAGAATCAATGCCCGGTGCTCCAACACTCATGCTCTACACTCTCCCATACTCAATATAACTGAACTTGAAATTGTATACAGCTATAAATACTTTGGAATCCTGCTCAATGAGAATCTTGATTGGGATGAACAATGGAAAAAAGTACACAACACTACAAAATCAGTATCATTTCTACTCAAGCGCCTTAAACAAATCGAACACAATCAGCCCAACGCTCTAACACTTCACCGCTACCGCATGTTGCAAGAGGCACAAATTTCTCTATCTTGCAAAAATTATCTTTGAAGTTCAAGAATAGAAATTATATGTTTAAACGCAGCAAAGGATCTTACAATGATTTGAGTGATTTAACCGACAAACCACTGCAACAGATTTCAAAAGCAACTAATGATACAATTGTTTATGATTGTAAAAGTTTAAGTAAATATTAGTTAAAGTAAATAAATTTGCATCAGATAATTTAGCTGACGTGGATATATTTTATGATTTTGAAATTGCTGAAGAAGATATCATTGGTTATAAAAAAGATTTAATCCATGATTGTCTACAGAAAAAACACAACGTTTTTGTTTTTAAAAGTCTCGATGAAAAATCTAGATTTTGGTTGAAAAATCGTTGCCAAAATGTTTTGCTATCCTGGGATTATAAATGAGGTTCTTCATTTTCATTCAACATTAATCGATTATCTTGATTGTGTTACTGAAATTTAAATAAATTTTACTTTTGTCAGATGGTTACATGGTGTGTTGTATAAAGTATAATTTTAAAGTCATGAATCATTTTAATTGTTCAGCTTTTCCTGATGTTATAAAGTACAAAGCCATTGAAATCGTTTAAGAAATTCTACTACTATTTCCTTTATAACAACACAAAGACTATAAGCTTGTAGAAATAAAAGGTTAAAAATGCCAAAAATGAATTAGAGGCAACAATTAACTAAAATGAAAAACATAAGGATATGTGAAACGATTCATAATTCAAACTAATGCCATAGATAAAATTTTTGATGCTTCAGAAATGACTTTTTCAAGTCTTGTGCAAACTCCAAACTTAAGTATGTTCATGCATATGCTAAGAGTGTTTTGCAAAAAATTGCGGTTATTGACGCCTGGAAGCCAAAATACCTCTTATACTAAATTTGAATTTATCAGCAGGCTTTAAATTTCATTTAATAACCATTTAGTGTTCGAAAGCCAACGATATCTTCGAAAGGCAACGATATCTTTGTATAACTTATTTAAGAAGCGAATTTGGGCAAAAACAAACAAAAATACTACATTTATGTCTAAATAACTTTTACTCATACATATCTTGTTATAATTCTATTAAAAAAGTCATTAAAGTATATATATAACTTTAATGACTTTTTCAATACATTTTGGCATCAACCGAGTATATACTGCACTTCTGCTAAGAAGTGCTTTATATACTCGGTTGATGCCGATATGGAGAATTCGCTTGACGGAAAGAGACACGTCCACACAGTTCCAGTCAAGTTGATGCGGGCCCAAAACAACCTCATTCAAATTACGTGGATAGTCCTTTTTGTACAGCAACTATAAGGAATATGGATGAAGTTTGTTTATTTTAAGGCCCCAAAAATGTGTGCTTTATAATTCAAGCTCGGATCCCAATTGGAATCACCGCTGGTACCAAACAAGCTTCTATATTAATGCAAATGGAATATCGAGTTTCTCATCCTGATCATGGACGTGATGGGCCTTGTCACAGGCTCATCACGTCCGTCTAAACAGGCATCGAAATCAAACCAAATGGTCTTGAAAAATCTGGCACAGTTTCCTATTTCTGTTCCACTTATGATGCTGTTCGATCTGGAAAGCATTCATTATTAACCGCGTATGCTCGCGGATTGTACTTTGAACAAATTTTAACTCTTCCAAAGTTCAATTCAGAAACAAAAAACCCTTTGACCAAGTTGGTCAAGCCAGTGGTTGTTTTTAGTGTTGATGGTAGATCTGATGAAAGTCCACATTACGCTATAGTCATTGAAATTGGTATAGCCTTATTTTTTACATTTTTTTATTGCAATCTATCAATTTAATTATGTTTTTTTTTAACTTATATATCTATTTTGTTCACAGCAATTCCTTAAAAAAAATTTAGGTGTCTTATTCATTTTGACAAATGCGCCAGGACGGAGTGCTTTCAATCGAGCCGAGAGAAGAATTTTTAAAAGAACTTGGATTGGCCCTTGAAACCTTCTTAAATACAATGTCTTTCACAATGAAGTGAAAAAATGACTATATAAACCTCTTTTTTACATTATATTACCGTCAAATAGCATTTGATTAAATTGTAAGACTAGGATATTGATTTCCTCCACAAGAAATTTATTCAAAATAGTATACTCTTTTAGTCAAATACTCTTCAATATTTTCAATATTAAGTTTCATAATTACTAACAGCAGTTAATGATTAAAATGTTTAAAATGTTTATCATAGACCGTAAGCTATGGCTTTCTGCTTCCTAATCTAATAAATCGGATTATGGTAACAATTCGTTAAAGATGCTTACTATTCAGATTAGTTATGCAGCATAACCATCTTTCCTAGTACTATGCAACATTTTTTTGTAAAGTCTTAATGAGCAGTTTTGACAGTTTCTTCACTACAGGGTTCCTAAGGGAGTTTCTTTGCAACTGATGAATAATTTGATGTGGTTGAGGGTGGTGTGAATTTTGGGTGTTGCGCTTGCGCCAATTGGTGAGGAGGGCAGCTTGCCACTTAACAGCTTTTATCCAAGCAGTGTTAAGTATCTTGAAAAGATGATTAGCTACTCCTATAAGGAGATGAAGTTTCATCGATGGGATTATTTTTAGAATTAGAAGATTGTCAAGTTAATGTTTCTGATACCGCAATAAGTTTCTGGC